AATCTACGTTAACCCGAGAAGATTAACTTGTACCGCAGGAGTGGAGACTAAATGTCGCTACGCCTGAGACGCCACGCCCAGATAGACAGCTCACCTGTGCTTCCAACTGTTCTGCTAAGGGCGTGATGGGAGAGGCTGTATCTGTACAACAAGAACCTTTGCTGGCCACGTGCTTCCTCCGCCCTCACCTTCCCTTGGCTTGTGCCATGCCTCCCACCTTCCTATGGGAGGTAAGCTTCAGCCACGCAGCCCTTTTTTGAGTTTCATACTTTGTGTGGCTCCCGTGTGCTTGTACGTGAATACCTTTACATGCCTTTTCTCCTGTCTGTTGTCAGTTTGTTTTATAGATTGAAATTATTGAAACTTCAAGAGGTGGAAAGAAAGTTCCTTCTGCCCCTACGATAGAATTAAGTGGTGGGGCCTCTGAGGAGGTGACTAAGTCGTGAGGGCACGGCCCCCATGCATGGGACTAGTGCCTTATAAAAGAGCCCCAAGGGAGCACTTGTTGCCCTTTTGCCACACGAGGATGCAGCAAGAAGGTGCCATCCGTGAAGCAGAGAGTGGGCTCTCAGAAGACGCTGAATCTGCTGCTGCTGCTGCCTTGATCTTGGACTTCCAGCCTCCAGAACTGTGAGCAATACATTTCTACTGTTTATAAATTCCCCAGTCTAAGATGTTTTCTTATAGCAGCCTCAACAAAGACATTTGGCAAGTGACGTAACCTCCCTGTTTTCATCATCTCAGCTGCTATAACAAAATACCACAGCTTGGGTGACTTCAGCAATCATTTTCTCATCTTCTCACACTTCTAGAGGCTGCGAGTCCCAGATGAAGGTACTGGCGTGTTCGGAAGGGGCTCTGGCAGGGGCTTTCTTCTTCCTGGCGTGCAAAGGGCCACCTTCTGGCCCTCACAGGGCCTTTGCTCGGTTCACGTGGCAGGGAGGGCCCTCGTGTCTCCTCCTCCTCAGATAAGGAGATCAATTCCATCGGATCCGGTCCCACCCTTATGACCTCATTCAACCCTAATTACCTCCCCAAAGCGTCATCTCTAAATACAGCCCAGCTGCTGCTCAGGGCTTCAACATAGGAATTTGGGAGAGAACACAATTCAGTCCCAAACCCTCCCTGTGGCTCAGGGTCCTCTCATTTAACACTGGGAAGACTCTTTTCCCAGCATGTGGGCCTTAAGGAGTGTCGAGGGAGAAACAGAAGGCACGACCAGTTCTGTCCAGGGCAGGCACCCTCATCTTCAAGGTGTGCTTGATACTATTTGGGCCTCTAGGGCCACCATATGCCCACGTCCTGAAGAACATCCATGCAACCTTCTCTCTCTCTCTCTCTCTCTCTCTCTCTCTCTCTCTCTCTCTGCCCCACCCCCGCGTGCGCGTGGACACCCACAGGCCCCAGTCAACCCCCCAACCCCAACCCTGGCCCTTCCCGGAGAGGGAACTCTTGACCTTACCCGCTGCTGCAGGCTCTCGTAGAGCTTAGTGAGTTCCACCAGCTCCATTTCCAGTTTCTGAGCCTGGGCCCTCAGCTCATCTGCAAGCTCTGTCTTGGCTCCCTCCTGCAGCTGCTTCCAGTCCCTCGAGACAGCGGCCAAGTCCATGCCAAGGCTGAAGCCGGCCACTACACTTCCCAGCATGCGAGCATTTTTTGTCATGGCCAGTGTTGTTCCCCCAAAGGCCTTTTGCACCTGCTTGCTCCTTCTGGCCGAGATGTGGCCAGTGGTCATCAGGCGCTTGGCAGCACTGGCCAAGTGGGGGTGGGCTTTGGCTTTCTGAAAGGCACGGAGGCTCTTCTTCATGTTGTTGGCAGTGTAGCCGACACTACAGACAATCTGGCTGGCTGCTAAGTTATAGGATTCTTCTTCGGCCTCATCCTCACCGTCCTCTATGTCATGGGTGGCCACTAGGTTGCTGACCTGAGCTTGGGCTTTTTTCTTGTGCGAGCGATCCAATAGGCTGGTCACGATGCTGGTGACTTCAGCTGCTGTCCCCAAACCTTGACCAGCAGTGGAGAGCAGCAGGCTCCCTCCTCCTGTCACTGGAGCCAGGGCTAACCCCAAGATGGACACAACTCCAGAGAGGACAGCAACGGAGTTGGCCACCAGGCTGGTCTTGGTGAATCTTTTGTGTCTTGTGTCGATATCCTCTGCAAGAGCATGAAGCTTTTCAATGTTCACTTCTAGATCTTGTTTCAATCTGGGAAACTCTCTCAAAAATATTTTTTCTTCAGCTGACAGATGATCTTCTGGCTTCTCATCTTTGCTTAGAGGGACGTCCTCCTCCTTGTCCCTGTGGACGAGTGAAATAAAGATTTTGCTCGACTTCCCGGATGGGAAAGCCCAACTCTTCCTCAGGGCCCCGTGGCTTCCAGTTATTCTTTCCACTCTCAACTGCAAACCCTCCCTGCATCTCCCTGAAAATCCCAAGAAGTCCCAGAGCCTCGGTGAGTGATTCGACCTTTGCCGAAAGCTACTGGTTCCCTGTGGAAAAGCAACATGTAAGAGGAACAGAGCTCTGGAGGGACAGACAGAGTAACCTTGGCCTTGGCCAAAGAGCTGAGGAAGGCAGAGTAGCTCGGAGGGAGGGTGTCAGCCTTGTTCAGACTGCTGTGGAGGAGGGACAGTGGGGAACCGCTGAGCTCCTACTCCAGACAAGGAACTTGGGACCAGTGGAGGGAGAGATCCAGGGGAAGTAGGAGAAAGAGGGGCCCAGGTGATGGGCGGGGGAGGGGAGCTCTATGTAGGCTCAGGTGAGTCAGAGGGAGGCAGGGCCACGTTGTCTAAGACGTCCTCCAGGTCGATGACCTTAAATTCTGCTACGCTGGGTGCACCTTTGCTTCTGTCAGGTGGTGCACATTGAAAAGTTCAGAATAAATAATTATTAACGTTGGGAACATTCTCCTTGCTCTTGGCCAGTTCTGTGTGGCCCCTCAAGCAGACAGGATTGGTCCCTCATAGAAGAAGTTTGGGACAAAGGGACTCAGCCTGCTTTCCCCCAACATTGTGCAGGACAAAGGGTGAAGGGGTCTTTGCCAGCCTGGTTGACTTTGGCCTTGACGGGAGAGCAGTGTCAGGTGAAAGCAAAGCCCACACCTTGGGGCGCTTTCTCCTGCCTGGGGCCATTTGTGTATTTCCTTCAGGGCCATCTGAGCAGGGGAGGAGGCCTGGTGACGACACAGACGCCCTGGCCTGGAGGGAACAGCAGAGCCGGCAGGAGCCCTGCAGAGGACCTGAGCTGCCTCCTTTACCCTTCAGGGGAGGGGTCTGAAACCCCCGGAGCGCAGGGGGCTCTTCCAGAGGAACGTGCGAAGGACAGACGGAGCCCTGGTCGGGGTCAGAGCGTGGAGGCTCACCCCCTCATCGGTCAGTGTCGGGACTTCCTCGCTGCAGTGTACGGACACACGTGAATATGTTTACCTTCCAAATAGTCTCTCTCTCTGCACACACAGAATTCCTCCATGGAAAAGATTCGAAACCAAATATACCACCGAGGAAACCGTTTAGTGTTAATGAATTAATAAATTTAGGCCCAATGAATAAGCAGATGTAAATCAGTTAATGGAACAGAAGGTCACCAGGGACATGTGGTGGGGAAGGGCAGGATGAAGGCGAGGGGGAGCCCTGCCCAGGAACCCCAGACGTCACAGAGGCCACATTGTAGCCCACCCTGATCTATGTTTCCACACGGTGTGTTGGATAAAAAGAAACAGCAAATACATACATAGCAGCAAAGATCAACAACGCCGCTGTGCATTAACTATGAAGTTTTGTTTTTACTGTGATTGGTGGCTAGTGCAAGCTTGGCTTCCTGTGTTTTTAGTTAAACCAAACGTCTGCCATGTGGACATGTCCCAGCACATCCTGTACCGGGCGGCGATGTCTCCAGCGTCAGGCGAGAGTGCAGTCCGGTTCCATGAGATATCACGCGCGGTTCACCTAATCCACCCTGCAAGTACTGCTGCTTGCCCACATCGTGCTGGGGGCTGGTGGTACTACATCTGCCGATTAACGGATAATTTGGCTTAAATTCATGAATCTGTCAACACTAAACGGCTTCCTTGGTGGTTTATGAACCAAAAATCTGAGTTCCTGCCTTCGCGGGACTCACAGAGGTGGCCTCAGGGTGGGCCGACTTCTGCCCTTAGAGTTCTGTTGCCCGAGCTGTGCACCTAAATCTTGACTCACTCTCCAAAAAATTTAGTTTAGCTCCATTGAATTGTTTTTTTCCGTAGGAGACCATATTTCCACGTGCAATTGGAGGCGAGCGGAAAGACAGGGCCCACTTTACCGCTAATGCCGGCAGAGCACGGTTATTCCTTGTGGCGAGGGTGCCGTAGCTCTTCCCGTTACCTTTGCAAACCATCGCCAGCCCCACGTTCTTACCCTCCCAGGAAGGCCCGCAGCGTGGACCATGCGCGGTATGCCAAATCCATGTCTCCGCGGGCCGAGCGATTTTCTGGTTGGGAATGTGGAAAACAAGGTTACTGCACGTATCATGAAACCTTATGAAATTCAGGTACGAAGGGATTTTAGATTATGTGGAATCAAAATAATAATGAAAGGCTTTTGGTGTGGTAAATCTGTGCAAACTATTATTTTTAAATTTTTTGTTGTGGTGAAGCTTACATACAATTAAGTACACGCAATGAAGTACTCAGTTCCATAAGTTTTGACATCTACGTCGGAGGGTAGCAGAATATGCCACGCCAAAATGTGCCACTTTGGCATGAGGATTATCTTGAGCTGAAGGCAATTGAAAAGAAATAGATACAAGAAAAGCTCTCTGCCCTCCCCTTTGCCTAAAAGCAGGACCTAGAATTACAAAGATAAAAAGTGTCTTTCCTCTCCTCTCTGCCAGAAAGGACAAAGTTTGATGGCCAAAGACGGCTTGTTCATCAGCCTAGAGACAGCACTGGAGGCGTCTTTACTAACTAGCTCTTTCACCACGAGTTTGCCATTGTTTCTTCCTGCTGACCCTAGCTGGCCATTAGTTTTGCCTGCCCACAATTTGGTGGCCCTAGACACTCGGGGTCCTTTCCCCTTGTCTTGTTATGTCTCTAAAATTGCATTATTCTCCGTTGAAGGTGTTATTGTTATGGTACGGAGAGCGAGAAGTGACCACCGAGAGACCGAATTGAGCCAAGTTGTGAGTCTTTATTAGCTGGCCAGCGACTACCCTCTGCACCACCGAGAGGCAGCAGCACAGAGAGTAGCCCTGAGCCAGGGGAGACGGGCTCTTTTAAAAGGCAAAAACCGCATCCTGTAAAGTCATCTATCTGCGCAAGCAGGGCTACAGAAGCCTAGATCAGCATTGATCATTATTAATCTTAGTCGAAAATACATTTAACATTTTGTTTGAAGTCAGAATACATTCTACTCCCTGTTATCTGGGTACATGAGGCACCCCTGGGCGTTTCAGTGCTCCAGGGCGTTCCGGCCCTCTGGGCTAGCTGTTACTTTATCTTGTTGATGCTTGCAGCTGTGTGAAGCGTACCTGCTCCCCCTTTCCCCCTTTGTTCTTTGCTTAAGCACACTGACAGAAGGGAGAGAGCAGGTTATTTCCCATAAACCTTAACATTATATAAACAGGGAGTTCTAAGCTGCCTCTTTGAGAATTACTGATTGCCTGGGCATCCCCCAGGTTTACAGGAGATATACATGTTAGTAAACTTCTGTTTGTTTTTCTCATGTTAATCTCTGTTGGGTTACAGGGTCCCAGCTGAGAACTCAAAAGACGAGAAGGAAAGTTATTTTTTTCCTCCCTTACAATAAACACCTAAGAGATCGAGACACAGAGCAAGGCTTCCTCCCTCTAGGCCGCGCTCAGCCCACCCAGGGATAACCCTGATTCTTCTATTAACCACTGATCAGTTTGCATAGTCTTGAGATTTTCACGTAAGTGGAACCGTTGTTTGGTTTCTTTCATTCAATATAATGTCTGTGAAATTCATCCATGTCGTTGTGGGTATCAGTAGAATTAAAAATTGTTATTGCTATGTAGTATTTAATTACATAAATATACCACAGTCTGCTTATCTGTTCTTCTATGGATTGATGTATTTGGGTTATTACCAGTCATTGGCCACGTATGGGAGGAAAAGTCATTTTTCCCTCAACCTCCTAAGTTCCTAGCTGGAACAGACCCCTGTAACCCAGAACAGTTTAACAAGAGAAAAACAAACAGAAGCGTATTAGCGTGTCCATTTCATACGTACATAGCAGACACCCAGGGAATGAACAATTCTCAAAGAGGTGGCTTTGCATTCCGGCTTATATAGCATCTTCAACAAAGAACATTACATTTTTAGGAAAGTGACAAGACAATGGAAAAGGACTTTGAGTCTCTAGGGGCAGCAACGTATGGGAAGGCAAATAAATGGCAGCTGTAGGCTCATTAGTAAATCTTGTTGTTAATGCAGATTCCTCTGGTGCCGTCTCCAGGCCCAAAAGTGCCTAAAGTTGTCGTGGGTGTTTAGTCTTTGTTCTCCCTGGTACAAATGACGTAGGGATGAGGGCAGAAAAGGAAGGTTGAGAGAGCGAGAGTGAGGCCATTTTGGCCCTAACCACCTGGGACCCGCTGAGATGGATGAATCCCTAAGCCGGATGCCTCACACTGCAGATGCCTCACACTGCGCTCACCTTTCCGCCACGGCAGTTTATAATTAACCTTTATGGCCTGAGCTCAAGACCATGCTGGTCACTATGGCTGCCTCCTAACGGGGAATGTGGACATTTACAAACATTCCCATCGCCCCATAGGGGGTCCCCCTCCTGCACTGTCTGTGGGGTAGGACCTGTTGTCTGTCTCTCTCTCAGTAAACTTTCTGTCGCTAGTTGGCTCACTCCCAACTTCTTTCCCGTGTGAAGCCAAGAACCCGCTGTGGGGGTTGCAGGGGAGGGGGGGTAGGGGGGCTCTCCTCCCTTCCTTGGAGCACCCCCAGCATCAAAAAGACCTTTTGTCTTTGTAAATTTAGGCAAATAGAGAAAAGACAGAGAACTTTCCTGCCCCTGCTTCTTTTTAATTGCCTTCATCGGCACAACAATCTTATGCCAAGAGGCATGTTTTGGGGTGGCGTATTCTGGTCTCTCACAGCTATGTGACCAAATTGACTATAATGATTAAAGGGTCCTTTTCACAGGACAAAGCAATCATTTATAAGGCCCCTTTGTACAAATGGTATTCCCAAGGACATAACATTATGTGTGATATTGCGACTTACAGTATAGTAATGAGTATAGATTTGGTCCTCATCCCCCTTCCTGGCACAGAGCTCCTAAAACCCTTGAAATTTCCTAAGCGATAAGAGGTACACAGGTGCAAAGAGCATCTTTCGTTATTCATAACAAGTCCCTTTCAACCACACCTGAGTTTATGTTAATGAGGTGACTTGAGAGAGCCCCTAAGGATGGGGTGTTGGTTGCCAGGGGAACCAACACTGTGGTTAAGGGGTTGGAACTTCCAGCCCCACCCCTCGACCCCCAGGAGGGGCGAGGCACTGGAGATTGACTTAGTCACCAATGGCCCGTGGTTGAATCAATCATGCCGTTGTAAGGCAGCCTCCATGCAATCGCAGAAGGACAGGGTTCAGAGGGCTTGCGGTTGCCGAACACACGGAGGGTCCTGGAGGGTGGCGTGCCCAGAGAGGGCGTGGAGGCTCTCTGCCCCTGCCGCAACACCTTGCCCTGTGTACCTCCCTTCCACCCAGCTCTTCCTGACCGACCGTAGCCTTTTAGAAACTGGTAATTGTGAGTAAATGTTTCCCTGTGTTTTGTGAGCTGTTCTAGCAAATTACTGAACCTCAGGAGAGGATCGTGGAAACCCGCCATTTGTTGCCAAGTTGGACAGAGGTCGTGGGTAACCTGAGGACCCACCATCTACAATTGGCATCTGAAGTGGGGGCAGTCCTGTGGGCCGGAGCCCGTAACCTGTGGGACCTAATGCTATCTCCAGGTAGGTGATGTCAGCACTGAGTTACATTGTAGGACTCCCACTGGGCTCCCACCTAGGAGTAGAGAATGGCTTGGTGTGGGGAAAAAACAACACACATTTTGATAACCAGTAGCAGTGAATTGGTGTGAGTGTTGAGGATAGTAGCAGAGAGGAAACAGGAGGTTTCCTCACATTGTGAGAACTGCAGAAGACCCCATCTGAGCATACAGGCGGGGTGTGAAACCACCCCAGGATCTCCTCGCCAAGGGTGGGACCTGGGGGCCGGGGGAGGGGGAGGGGTGCCACATCTGTCTGGAGAAAGGGGCGTTTTATTTATCGACTGATCGATTGCACAGAGCTGCATCCACTTGGCGAGGGAAGCACTTCCCTAACATGTTCTACGGCCCCGTATCGGCCTTGATCTAATGTACATGTTAAAATGATCATTCTGGCTGGAAAACAGTCTGTAGGTTTATATATAGAAAAGCCATCGTGTTTTCTTCTCTTACACAGTCAACACAACACACTTCTGTGACCAAAATGTGTGTGGAGTTTTCTCCCTACCAACAACCAGTTCTCCAGTGGACGCCTACTGCGTGTCCTATCGTTCAGTCTAATTGACATTATCTACCTGGGGGTGGCGTCAGATCCCAGAGGCTAAGGGCTTGATCCCATAATACTGCCCTCCCCTTAAGATGCCAATCAGCAGGTCAGGCCTCCAGACCAAGAGGCTACAAAATGGGGTGCCCATGACTCCCTCCTCAAGTTTGATTAATTTGCTAGAGCAGACCACAGAACTCAGGGAAACACTACTTACACGTCCCCATTTATTAATATTATAAAGGATATTACGAAGGACAGAGGTGAACAGCCAGTTAAAGAGATGCACAGGGCAAGGGATGTGGGAAGGGGTGTGCCATCTCCAGGTGCGCTGTCGCCCAGGTGGCTTCATGTGTTCAGCAATCTGGAAGCTCTTTGAACCCTGTAGCTCAGGGATTTTTAGACGACTTCATCGTTCGGCATGATCAATTAATAACTTAATCTCCAGCCCTCTCCTCTTCCTGGGATCTGTTCTGTGTCAGGAACTGGGGTCAAACACCAAATATTAGAACATGCTGTGGTTTGAATGTGTTCCCCAAAGTTCGTGCATTGGAAACTTAATTCCCCAATGCAACCATGTTGAGAAGTGGGACTTTTTAGAGGTGATTTGCTCATAGGGGCTCTGTCCTCCTGAAGGGATTAATTCTGTAGTCATGGGAGAGGAGTGGGTTCCTGATAGAACGTTGAGTTCAGCCCCTCCCCCTCCCTTTCTCGTGCACTCTCTCTTGCCCTTGTGTGTTCCGCCATGGGATGACGTTGCACGAGGGCCCTCACCAGGTGCTGGTACCTTAATACTGGACTTCCCAGTCTCCAGAGCTGTGACAAATACATTTCTTTTCTCTATAAATTCCTCAGTCTGTGGTATTCTGCTATAGCAGCACAAAACAGACGAAGACAGAGCCAAAGATCCTCCTAGTGCTCCTGTCTACAAGGGTTTTAGGAGGTGTGTGTCGGGAGCTGGGGCAGGGACCTGTATGTATATATTTTGTATTATTTCTCAAATTGCAAGAGAGGAGGCAGGGAGACCAGTTGGGAAGTGATTGCGGTAGTTGGAGCAAGAAGTGAGGGCAGCTTGGACCAGGTTGGTAGGGGTGGCGAGAGTGGCTGGATTTGCAGGAACTCACAGGTTTCCCCAGTGGACGTGGGAGGTGAGAGAGTAGGGTCAAGGGTGACTTCGAGTTTTTCAGCCTGAACATCTGTTGCAAGGAAGATCCCATTTACTGAGATAGGAAGGGTTGGAGGGGTTTTTGGCAGGATGTGTGTGTGTTGTGGGGTGTAATGGAGCTCAGAGTGGGGTGAGTTAGGTTTCAGATACCCCTTGGACATCCAAGTGAGGCTGAGTAAGCAGTGGGTATGTGAGTCTTGTTCTGGCTGGGAGATCAAATGTAGGAGCCATGAGTGCAGAAAGCAGTTAAAGCCATGACTGGGTGGAGAATCCTAGGGAAAGAGTAATAACAGGGGCAAATGTGATCCACGTGTCAGCGTAGACTAGAAGCCGGGGCTGATGGGGGATGCAGGGACTTGCAGAGTGGGTGCAGGTGTTAAAGTCTAACTAAGGTGGGGTGACAACCACAGACAAGAAGTGGCTTCAACTGGCTTGTCAGTTATCTAGGTCACCTTACAGGTGGCTAATTACAATATCATTTGCATTGTGGTTTTGAAATTTCTCCATCCTTTGAAATCACCAGGACAGTTCCGAAACAAGTATATAAAATATAAAAATGGGAAGAAACCAATTCTGGGAATTACCGTCCAAATTCTTAATAAAAGCCCCCCGCTTTGGCTGTGAATATTCCTCCCCTCAACTTATAAAACTTCAAAAGATCAAAAACCACATCTTCTTGGTGAAGCTGCACTTTTTGGAAGGGGGCGTGGAGAGCAATGAGAGAGAGAGAGAGAGAGAGAGAGAACTTTCACTTTTGGTTTCAATAAAAGCTGCTTGCTTTGGCAAGGGTGAGATGAGACCTGGTGAGTCATATCACATTCTTTTTTTTTTTTTTGCCTGGGCTAGAGTGCCGTGGCGTCAGCCTAGCTCACAGCAACCTCAAACTCCTGGGCTCAAGCAATCCTCCTGCCTCAGCCTCCCGAGTAGCTGGGATTACAGGCATGCACCACCATGTCCGGCTATTTTTTTTCCTATATATTTTTAGTTGTCCAGCTAATTTCTTTCTATTTTTAGTAGAGACGGGGTCTTGCTCTTGCTCAGGCTAGTCTTGAACTCCTGTGCTCAAAGGATCCACCTGCCTTGGCCTCCCACAGTGCTAGGATTACAGCCGTGAGCCACCGCGCCCAGCCTCACATTCTTCATCATGTTTTCACATCCCCGTAAGGGAGAGATTCCTACCTGGTTTAACGCTAAGGCCAGGTGTGTGATGCCTGTAATCGTAGCACTCTGGGAAGCCAAGGCAGGAGGATCGCTTGAGCTCAGGAGTTCGAGACCAACCTGAGCAAGAGGGAGACCCTGTCTCTACTAAAAAAAAATAGAAAAATTAGCCAGGTGTGGTGGTGGGCACTTGTAGTCCCAGCTACTTTGGAGGCGGATGTAGGAGGATCGCTTGAGCCCAGGAGTTTGAAGTTACAGCAAGCTATGATGACTCCAGTGCACTCTAGCTAGGGTGACGGTGAGACTGTCTCAAAAACAAAAACAAAACAAAACAGAAAACACACTAAGAAGTTGACCCTCAGATCAGCCAAGCTCACAAAGTGAGGGGGCTGGCTGGAATTTGAATGCTGGCCGCCCTGACAACAGCTCTTTTCCCTGAGCCAGGTGGCCACCCCTTGGGCACCTTGACCTTAAATTAAAGGACTGCAGCAACTCCCTGCCCCCCGCCCCACCTGTGCCGTCCCACCTTCTGTCCACGGAGCTCTCACAAGTGGCTTGTGGTCCTGTGCCTCTGTCCTCGCCTCTCGGAGGGCCTCTGGTCCAGCAGGCGTCTGTGAGTGTCTGGGCGGCAGAAGGAGAAATGGAAGAGTAGAGGAGAGGTCCCAGGCTCTGTGAGTGGCTTCTGCAAAGGCATTGATTGTGAAACTGGTTTGGAACTAACTGCTACAAAAAAAGCAACGCCCATAGCAACCGAGCCTCTTCCTGGAAACCACGGACTGGTAGAGAAACTACTTTCACTTTCCTTAGAAACTACTTTCACTTTCCTTGGGTCATTAAGTGTGGAATGTCCCATTTCCTTAAGTGCTAAGTTTGACAGTTGACATCTCTGACATTTTGCTTTGACACTTTTTTTTTTATGGTGAAGGTACATCCTTATTCTTTCAAATGCACATTTTGGCTTGTGATTATCTTTCAGTTTTTTTAGAGCAATTTTTGTGAAACCATGGATAAGTAAAAACTTCATGTTATTTTCGAATATGAGTTCCATCATGGAACCAATGCTGCGCAGACATCTCGAAACATCAACGAAGTGTTTGGGCAGGATGTGGCTAATGAACGCACAGTATGTTGATGGTTTGAGAAATTTTGTTCCGGTGATTTTAATCTTGAAAATGAGCCATGTGGGTGACCTGACACCAAGGTTAATAACGATGAAAGCTGTAGTGGAAGTGAATCTATCTCAACCTATGCGTGAATTAGCAGCAAGGTTTGGCGTTACTATTCCAACAATTCTGGACCATTTGAAACAAATCGGCAAGGTAAAGAAGCTGGAGAGATGAGTTCCACGTGAATTAAACGAGCGTCAGAAGAGAAATCATCTCAAAGCTTGCCTTTCTTTGTTGTCACCACATAAAGGCAAACCATTTCTAAACTGTAGTGTTACACGTGATGAAAAATGGATTCTTTCTGACAGTTGCAAGCGTTCGGCACAATGGTTGGGGAAAGATGAAGTGCCCAAACAGTCCCAAACCGAACATTCATCCAAAAGAACTAATGGTGTGTGTTTGGTGGTCCATCGCTGGTATTATCCACTACAGCTTCATGAAACCTGTTCAATCGATTACAGCGGGTGTCTGCTGCAACCAGTTGGATGAAATGATGAGGATGCTTGCGATTAAGCAGCAGAGATTGGTCGATAGAGACAGGCCAATCCTCTTGCAAGATCACATGTCGCACAAACAACACTGCTGCAACTACAGAAGCTGGACTTGGAAACTCTCTGTCGTCCACCGTATTCACCAGACCTTGCACCAACTGACTACCACTTTTTCCAGGCTTGGGACCACTTCTTGCAAGGAAAAATATTCAATTCTCAACAAGCTGTGGAAAACGCCTTTCATGATTTCATTGTCATTGGCTCTCCAGGCTTCTTCGCTGCTGGCATAAGCAAGCTACCGTTAAGATGGCAAACTGTGTCGATGGTTTAGGTGCACACTTTGATTAATCGTGCTGCTTCTTGTTTGACATATAACAAACTACACTTTTGATAGGAATTGGACGTTTCATGTTTAATGCCCTAATACTTTTCTTTTTGTGTCTTTAGAGGCACAGTGAGGCGGGAGGGCAGAGTCTAAGTCAGAAGTCCGGAGGGTCCCGTCTCTCTTTCCCAGCTGTGTCGTATGACAGGTGGGGACCGTCCTGCAAGGCCGCTGAAGTCAAGCAGACCACTCAGTGCTGCATCACAGTGATCAGGCCGCTCCGCTGCCCTCGGCCTCGATTCCTCATCTGTGAAATGGGTGTTATAAGAGCTCCTGTGGCCGAAGCCCATGAGCAAGAGATGCAGCGCCTGGCGTGCAGCGGATTAGCGGCAGCTGTGATGATTGTTGTGACACCACCTTCCTCCGCAGCATCTTACGTGATCTTTGAACAACCCGATGAGGTCCACGGCATTAAAGGGCTAATAACTCCTATCGGTCATTCTGATTTTATTTATTCTGAAATGCAGAATCCTCTGGAAGCAGAAACTATTTGTGTATTAATTGATTTAGTGGCAAAACCTGACCTACGTGATCTGGCCTGAGTTTACTCATGGCTTTTGTGTATCCCATTTAATTTGACTATTCCTAGATCCACTGCAGAAATAACACAGTTGACTAAGGAGGGCTATTTGGGGGGATGTTACGAAATATGTAATACCCACACCGTATTACCTTTCTAGAAATCAAAAAATTGGGAACTCTGACATGCATCTGGCCCCAAGGATTTGAGATACAGGATTGTGATACTCAACCTCCCATTTCGAAGAAGAGGAAGGAGAGGCCCAGAGAAACTAAGTGGGTAGCCTGGGGTCACACAGCTAAGAAAGGGCAGAGCAGTGCTAGGCTGTCTGTGGGAATGAGCGCAGGGTGGTTATAGGCTGAGATTTGTGGGTCTCTCCAGTATTGGGGTGCAAACTGGGATTGGGAACCGTCTGGTTTGTTCATATTTATATGCCCAGAAGTCTCTACTCCCCACCCCTAGCTGAGGCCACATGGGGGCTGCTGCTTTGCAGAAGGCGTGGTCCACCCAGCCAGTCCTGGTTCTGCAGGGGGTGGGGGCCGACTGATGTCCCCTAGGGAGGAGAGCCAGAGGGCGGGGAGCTGCAGAGCTGGATCTCGTAGGGGCCTTTCCAGACCAGGCACCCCAGACTCCGTGACCTGACCCCTGCCTCTCGCACTTAGAGAACACTCTGAACAGAGGCTGTCCCTGAGGAGGAGGTGGCTGACCGGGGCAGCTGGGCAGCTGGGCCATCCCAGGCCCGCCTGCTGTTTTCCCTGGCAACAGACCCAGATTGCTGCTCGGTCCTGGGAGCCTCGGTGACCATGCTGGTCCCTGGACTAGGGGAATGTTTACCAGTGTGGCTCTTGTGTTCTAAGAGATGCTGCGTAGGAAAACTGCTCTGTAGCCAAATGCAGAAGGGCTGCTTGTGTTGGAGTAAACATCAGCCCAGTCGAGCAAAACCTGATGTGGCTCCATTTGCTAGGATTCACCTCACCTTCCTCAAGGGCCCCCAGCCCTGCTGAAAAGACGCGAACTTGCCTGAAGTTTCCCCCATCTCTTGCAATGTAAAACACACTCTTTTGGGATAAAGTCAGTCAGTTGGGGGTGAATGTTTAGGCAAATTTAAGTTCAAATTTTCTATCAGAGCTTTTTCTCTCCCCTTGAAAGTCTGCCTCACCCAGAGCTGGCATCTGGGTGCAGTGCTGGCCTCTGGGGTCCCACTGGCCCACACAGAGGTATCCTGGTCCCCCTCTGGCCAGGCAGGCATCACTGGCTCCTGAACGCCAGGGTTCGAGTCCACCCTGGTGCCTCTCTCTGGCTTGGTGCCACCTCAGCTCTTGAGGAGCTAGAGATACCCTGTTTCAGCCACGACCCACACCCACCCTGGGCACGGGTTACCTACCAGCCAAGGAGTCACCACGCTCCAGCCCAGTGGCCCGTCTCTCCCCTGCCTTGCTCAGGCCTGGGAAGAGGACAAGGGACAGAGAGCCAGGGGATGTCTTTGCCCCTCTCCCTGCCTAAGCACCGCCAGGGCTTTTCCACTGTCCTGTGGCTGTCTCAGGAGGCTGCGTCCACCTCGTCCCCAAATCCTGTGCACATGGTTTCCTCCTGACACGCTCGGACCTCTGCCACCGGCTCTGCCACGCAGCTTGACCACGACGGGAGGAGCTGCGGCTGGGACCCTAACTCTGATTTCTTGCCCCGGCCCCTCTCTTGCTGCTTTCCCACCTGGTCCTGGCAGGCTCCTCCCCACATCCCTCTCTGGCGGGGACTTCCAAGGTTTATCCCTAATAATACATGGGGTGTGGGGGGCAGCTTACAGATAGAGGGGAATGTGCGTTGGGAGGTGTTGCAAAATGATGCCTATTGGACATGTCAAAGGCTTGGAAAATTTCTACTGTTAAAAACAAACAAATGTCTTGACTCTTATAACCCAAACAAGTATGGTAGGAGTGGTAATTAGTTCAAGTAGTCTGATTGCTGGGAATCTGACCCCTGTCCCTCCCTCCGTCACCCCCACTCCCCTGCCGTGGCTGCAATCACTGTTGCTCAAGAATTATGCGGCTAATGGTCAGACTCCTCAGAGACTGCCCAGAGTTGTGATTTTATTCAGTTACTTGGAACACAAGCAATAGACATGGATTTGGCTAATTTAAGCTTAAGAATTTCGGGGGGCCAGGCGCGGTGGCTCACGTCTGTAATCCTATAGCTCTGGGAGGCCAAGGTGAGAGGATCACTTGAGCTCAGGAGTTCAAAACAACCTGAGCAAGAGCAAGACTCCCTCTCTACTAAAAATAGAAAAATTAGCCGGGTGTGTCGGCATGTGCCTGTAGTCCCAGCTACTCGGGAGGCTGAGGCAGGAGGATCGCTTGAGCCCAGGAGTTTGAGGTTGCTGTGAGCTAGGCGGACGCCACTCTACTCAGGGCAACAGAGTGAGACTCTGTCTCAAAAAAAAAAAAAAATGGTAAAGACGGTAAATTTTATGTTATGTGTATTTCATCACAATTTGACCCCCCGCCCCTCAATATCCCCCATAGAACATGCTATTCTTCGGGGGAGGACCCCGGGGGTCCCTGTTGGCTCATGGGCGATCCCTCCCCCTCCCAGAGGTGCTGCCAAGCCCTGATGGCACATGGAAGACAGCCACGCCGCTGACCCGTTCCTCTGACCCCAGCGCAGTTGACAGCGTGAACGTGAACATCCCTGAATCCTGCAGGCCCGCTCACAGCAGGGCGCTTCAGGCACAGGTCATCATGATCCCAAACCACGGCTCCTGTGTCCAGAGGCCCAGAGGGTCCTGTGATCATTCAGCAGCTCCCCTGGCAGACACCTGGCACAGGCAGAGACTGTCATGAGGGATGAGGAAAGGGCCTTGAAGAACATTCTGACCCTGAAATTCTTGCATTCCGGGAAAGTCTTCCCCTCCCCCTGGCTGCAGCAAGTAGGGAGTGTTTGAGCAAACACTGCCCAGAGAGGGCAATTTGCCAAATGTAGCAAAAGTTTCATCCCTGCCTGCTTCGCTTTGCCTGGAAGCAATTCCAGCTCCCTGGGAGCCCGGAGAGCGGAGCAGGGCAGCCGTGGTTACAAGGGGAGACAGGAGCACTGAACTGAACCCCA